GGGGGGGGGGGGGTAGGACATAAGTTCAGCATGGACAAATCATCTATCTTCAAGCAAAGGAAGAAATTTTTATGTTAAGAAGGGACCAATCTTTGAAGTTATTGAAATCAAGCAACAGTAGATAGAAGGTGCAAGAAGGCGTGTTTGAACTCAGTGGGAAAATAAACAGACTTTCCTGTAATCAGATATTAAAATCTAGGCTAAGCTTCTGTGCGATTTGATGATTGCCTTGGAAAATCCCAAGAAGGGACCAGAAATGACCAATTATCGTCCACACCACATCCTTCGTGGAATGAGGTTTAGTTAAATGACTCTAAGGTCCCTGTCACTCTAAAATGCTGTGCTTTATTTTTTTCATCATCTCTAGTCTGGGGGGGCATGGCAAACCAGACCATGTGTTATCCTCCAACTCCTAGTAGCACCCATGTGCCACTTGCAGCTCAGTCTATCAGCCCTTTCCTAGTACATCCCGTGTTAAGGTCTGTAAACAAGTCTGGATGGCGCCTGGCAAAATGCCAGAGGGAGTGGTTTGTGAAGTAACAAAAGCAAGCCATTAAGTGTGGAGATTTCTTATTGGTTGACTGCTGTATCTAGTTTATGTTAATTAGATAAGCTGTGTGGAATGTATATATACCCCTCCTGTCCTACAATAAACGGCTCCCACTCCTGCTGTATCAATGTACACAAGTTGTTCGTCACCCCCCGGTTAGTTTGCTGCAGCCGGACTGCGGCAATCCCGCCCCTTTGTGATGCTCTCCCACAAAGACCCAGCTCAAATGGAGCCCCCTGCATCTGTCCTTCCTGCAACTCCTACCACCCTCAGGCAGCCTCACAGATGCTCCACAGATGATGGCATCTTTCTGTAGCTTATTGGGTCTTTATATTCCCTGAAAACAGTGCTTAACTCTCTCAATTCTATATTTCCCTGCTTCCCTGGCCTCTCCATACTAAGTACAGTTTTTGAAAATAGAGGCCCTCCAGAAATATTTGTGTCCACAGTAAATATTTGTTGTGTGGAAACAAAAAGTTTAATGACCCCAAAATTCTACAATTTACTCAGATTATAAATAAAATACAGCTGACTTCTATGAGGTTGGTTCACCCATGTATCCTTTCGTTTGCTGCCCCAATTTAAAAAAAAATTCAGTCAGGTGGCTGGGAACCAAAATGAAGATTTTGAATCTTATTAATTTTAACGAGTGACATGGTCACAAGCTCAACAAAATGAGCTCTGAGTTCCTAGGTGACCTTCCAAGAAAGATTCTGTTTTTTTAATATAATTTTGTTTCTTCCCAATTCTGGGATTTCTCTTACCTTCAGTTACTATTATGTTGTAGGTTTTGGTGATGTTATAAAATTTTCCATTATGATAAACAGAAAACACACAGGAATAAAATCCCTGGTCACTGAACTCAGCGTTCTTCATCATAAATAGGCTAGAATTGTCTTCAGCTAACTTTTCACAGTTCTGTTTTTTTAAAAAAGCAAGTTAAAATATTTTCAGTAAGCAAAGGCAATATTTGTATTACAATCATTCACAATTAAAGCTTAAGATCCTTAGAGAAAAAAAGGAAAACTGAACAGAAATCAGCAATTATTGAGAAAATGTCCCAGTGACTTGATCTTGCTCTCATTGGAGCAATGATCAATGAAGTGTGACCCCATGACCTTGTTATCCCTGTCTTGTCCTGGGAAATGGAGCACTGGGGCACCATAACCACTGTCCGCATTTTATTTTAAACTATATTTTACACACACACACACACACACATACACAATGCAACAATAATAGCAAAAACACATCAAAGGGCTGAGGATATCACTCAGTTGGTGGAGTGCTTGCTTCACATGCACAAGGCCCTGGGTTCAATCCCCAGCACCACACACACACACACACACACACACACACACACACATACCACCCCCCACCCCCCCAAATAATTTCTATTCTGTTCAAAACTTTCTGCACAAGCCTGTTTCAAAATGTAACATTTCATTCTGACTCTGCATACTATGAACTAGGCACCCTGGGAATAAGTCTAGGGATGAGAACAGAAGGAGAATAAGGGAACTGAATGGCTGACCCTTACCAGGTGACATTCTTCCTGAAAATATCAAATAAAAAGGACCTAGTATCCACAGACTTCTCCCTCAAAGCTGGTCAAAGCTGGTGGCCACTGTGGCTGGACCCAGACAAAACAGGCTTGTGTAGCTAGTACCCACAGGGGTACCTCAGAACAGTAACATGTTTCTGTATAAGTCAAATTTTTATAAACCCAAACTGATTTTTCCAGGATACACAGAATATCAGAAACTCCAATTAGCCCTTGACAAATTGAGTGTCCTTGTTCTCCTCCCCTCAAACAGGTCACAATCAATCCACAGGATGAGAACACTTAGCCCCTGTGTCAATTGTTTAGCTAAAAACATCCTTAGGATGCCCCTTTCCTAAATGTGGGTATCTGTACCTTGGGACTCTAAAACCCAATATGTTGAACTTACTGATTTTCGTGAACTGTAAAACATGTGGACCTTCAATGGGAAACAGAAACAAGTCAACTGGGGACTGACTCAATGTTTAGAAAACATGTCAGGTAAGAGGTCTCCTTGAAAAATCCAAGTAAACAGGGTAAATCCTTTGTTGCTTCAAGTTTCTCAGCTCTTTCCTATTCAGACCACCCACTCCTGAAGCTCTTCCAAGTTTCCATGATAGAGTCAGATTATTCATATTTATTCTATAGAAACTATGTTGTTGGAGTTGTGCAAGTGCTTAGATGTGTGTGTATGTTCTTTACACACAACACAGGATACACACACACACAAGTATATATAGAATCTCTGTAGCATTGTTTAAAAGACCTCTTATAACCCAACAAGAAAAAGGTATATCAACTGAAAAAGAGAAAATGTACAAGCTGTCCACAAAAGGAATAATATGATATAATAAACATATTAAAGTATTTAATTCATTATTAAGAAAAGAACAGAAAAAAATTACTAAGAGGTTCAGAAATTTTCCATGTCAGATTTTTCAATTCTGAAAGCATCATTTCCCAGTTTGGGGTAAATATAAGGAAGAAGAATTCTTATACCAAGTGTGGGGCCTTATACGAGCAAAGCCTCCCAGAAACTAATATGATATTGTGTATCAAAAGTCATAAATATGCCATCAACTTTTGATCCAATGATATACTTTAGGGATTTGATTGTAGACAAATTATATAAACACCCAAAGACCTATGGAAATCATACTCGTTTTAGCCTTTAAATAAGAGAGAAAAATTGGGAATGTACTAATGTCTAAAACAAGGGAATCTGTTAGGTGAAACCAATGGAATCCTCTATTTGGAAGAATGTTTAAAGATGTAGGTGAATAATCAAATATAATTTTTTAGTGAGTAAAAGAGAGACACTAACAATAGAACAAAGCACTTTTTAAAAGTAGATGTTTACACAGGAAAAAAAAGTGGCTGGTGGGATTATGAGTGATTTTTTGCTTTCATTTTATATTTTTCCATCTTTCAACTTTATAAAATAAACTTGTATTTTTAGGGAAAAAAAACACATGCACTCAAGTTTTGAATTTTAAGTGTTTATGATTGAAGAAAATGAAAAACTTAAACTCACATTACCAAAAATTAATTAATTGAAGGAGAAGGAAAAGGAAGGAAGGGCCGAAGAGGGCAGCTGTCAAAATTGATTGGACAACTCACACAGAACAGAGAAGCTACTGGGCTACACACGTTGTGTACTTTAGATCTTCCCAATAACCCCGCAGGGACACCCCACTCAACAGGCCATGCGAGCTGTGTAGGTTCAGAAGGCTTGTCTGTTAGGAGACCAAAATGGTCCACAGCCACCAGATCTTCATTTGGGAATTTTATCTTTGCTATCATGTTGTAAGCTGAAATACTTTTCAAGTGTTACCTTATATAATGATGTTTTCTTGATCAGTTTCTGATAGTAATCATTTGTACATGGAATCTCCAAAACTTTCTCAACTCCCACAGGTTTGCTAGTTACTTGTTTTTCATTAAAACAGCTGTGTATGTTTCTTCTGGTGACGGTTAATGTCCGCTCCTGAGTATCATTTCTATGAAATAAAAGTGTAAAGGCATTTAATAATTATGACAGAAACCTTATAGCTATCAACCACCTTCCCTGTTGTCATTGATCCTATAATTTGTTCCTAATTTTTGTATAAAGAGATTGATTCATTGATTGTCTATACCCTATTTTGCCTCCTCTTATTTCAGAGCAGCAAGAAATTTAACAATAGTCCTAGGGTGAAAGATAAAACCCTGAGCAACACACACACACACACACACACACACACACACACACACACACACACCTGGCTGTATCTTATGGATGTTAGAACAGCAGATGTCTAAAACTTGGGTAATCTTTATTAAGGGACAAGAACAGAGAATCCTAGGTCAGGATGAGAGGGTGGCCTTGTTTTCCTGATGTCTATAAACTCTTGGTAGTTTTCTGAATGAGTAAGTATATACATTAGGTTTATGTATCTCAGGGCAGTGTATTCCAATCCCTGTCTCTTACACTGTTGAGTCACACAAAGTCTATTCTCGCCCTCAGCACATCTATATGAGCCCTTTACTGAACAGAAGTGAATCTGAATAGATTTTATAGTGGTTCCTTCTAGTCAGAAATGAGTAATTTTAAAAAGAAAACTTTGGGGCTGGGGATATGGCTCAAGCGGTAGCGCGCTCGCCTGGCATGCGTGTGGCCTGGGTTTGATCCTCAGCACCACATACAAACAAAGATGTTGTATCTGCCAAAAACTAAAAAGTAAATATTAAAAAAAAAAAATTCTCTCTCTCTCTCTCTCTTAAAAAAAAAGAAAAGAAAACGTTTATAGTCTGACGTTTGCTTACATTGCACATGTGATATACGTATCCATACGTGATGTCATAGACTTGTATACATATGAATCCATCTCCCAAATACAGCAGACAGGTGCTGTGTGCCTGACCAATGGGCACCCAACTTAGGCTCTCCCAGCTCCCCTTTAAGTCTAGAAGAGGCTGGGAGCAAGACAAGGCTACCACCAAGCTCCAGCTGTTGTACCAGGCATTTTCCCTCTGTTCAGAAGGAAAAGCTCAATCTCAGAGAAGTTAAACCACTTGCCCAAGGTCACACACCTATTCAGGGTGAGGCCAGATGGGAATGCACACCTGGTTAGCCCCAAGGGCCAGGAGTGTTTTGTACAATCCATGTAAATCTGGCTCCTCACTTTGGGCATTATCTGAAGATGGTCCAGTGCTGGAGAGGGTGGCAGGCGGTTGTCACAGTTAAATGCAGTGGGTCAGTGGCCATGAGACATAATGGAGCCGCCTGGCCCTTGAGAAGGACTCAGACTCCCATTGGCACCCTTCTCTTCTCAAGTGTTTGCTGAAGTTTCCCCAACTCCAGCCTCACTAATCTGGATAGAGAGATTATTTCCAGGTCTCTCTGACCTGTTGCTTTTAAGGAACAGACATGTACAAGTTCTCATCTTAGTAGATCATGCTCTTTACCTGTGTAGTCCACCTCCTAACACTCAGGAAACTGACAGAATGAGTGCTCGTCACACGTGCAACATTACACTGCAGACGTGGAAAGAAGCAACAGGCCACAAATGCTACAGAAGAACTGGAGGCTGATGTGAGGCTGAGGCCAACTGACCCAAAGCTGTGGACTCTGACCTGCTAGGTGGGACCACTAACTGCACTCTGCCTCTGAGCTCCCCCTCTGGCCATGCACAGAAAGGGCTTAAAAACCTCCAGTCCGCTCTCTGGGGGGACCTCGCCAAGCCCAACTTGCTGCTCATCAACTCAGGATCTAATTATTAGTTTTTAAAGTGTGCTTCTCGCTCTACCTTCATTTCTTTGACTCTGTTCAGAGAAAACTCTTTCTTCTGGAAACCTTTCCTTCTTAATTGGTTTCCTCCTTAAAATATGTTGGGACAAATCACTGCAGGATTAAAGTATGGGTCCCCAGAAGCATTTGATTATTAGTAAATGCAGTCCGTTAAGAATTAAGGGATTACAATTCCCATGGGAGAATTCCAAGTGGAAGGTCTGCACATTGAAAGCAGCTCCCACACCAAACTACAAAAGCTAATGCGCACCTGAGTAGGCACATACAAGACAAGGCTACATGCATGCACACGCGCGCGCACACACACACACACACACACACACACCTATAGTAAAACCAGGACGCTGCTTACTGATTGCTCTATGTTGAGCACCTCTATATTTTCCACCATCCTAAGTGGCCTAAACAACTCACTCCCAGATAGAACCCACCATCGTCACCCTATTGTGAAAGCTGTTTCTCCCCCATTGCTTACTCTCACATTTTACTCATCAGTCTCCAACAACTTTCAAAGTTTGTCACCAAGGCCACTCTGCGCCACCCTGTTTTCTTGCCCTCTCCTATCCAACCCCTGAGTTTCCATGCCTCTCTGACATCATCTCTCTAGCTAATAACTCCATGTGGCTTCCTGTGGTGAGTTGTGTTCTCTGTACTCCCATGTCACATCTCCAAGTTGGTCACAGACAACGGGTCTGTCCCCTTGGTTTTGATGGTTCTGCCCTGTCCTTGTTCCTGTATTCAATCAGGATTCGGAAGTGTTTGTTGTTCTCTTCCTCCACCCAATTTACAAGTACCGTCTTCAATCTTCCTTAACCTGCTCTGAAAAATCCAGTCGTGACCCATTTTCTGCAATCATCTGTCTTTAAAAGGTCACATGAAATGCACTGACTTTTGAAAGAGTTCTGTAATTTCTTTATGACTCTTGGGAGTTTCTATGTATAAAAACAAAAAAAAACCCATGACCTCATTTTGTGCAAAACCACAGGAGTGATATCGAGGTTTCACTGTGATATCTCACCCTGCTCTCAAAGACGGGGTGAGAGTTATCAGGACTCACTCCAGTGCAAAGAACGAGATTTCTAAAAGAACTCTGCTACATCTCACAGCACAGTGACACCACTCAGCCAGCCCCGAGGTATTTTCTCAAATCTCTAGATAAAGGCATGCATACATGTGTATATGTGTACATATATGTGTGCACATGTTTCTGTATGTTCCTGTCAACAGAACCAAGTCCAGTAACAGTGATTGATGTATTCAATATCCAATGGATTGCTCTTGTTTCATAATAGTTGCATTTCTCCATTATTATTATCCTGGCATAATCTCAGGCTATAGCATGAGTACACTATAGAGCCCTGTCCCTGTTCCCCTTCATCACGAGCTCAGGGCTGTAGGGTTTTGGTTGGCTCTTGAACACACACCTCCTCCTCTAGCACTGCCATCTGGATCCCGGTGAGCCTTGAAAACTAGAGTACCATGTGTCTCCATCAATGCCATCCTCTCTGCCACCTGAAGATGCTACCCAGGAGAATGACCCTGTTCCCCCTTCTCTACACATCAATGTCATTATGAAGTCCTAGCCGTTGATGTCACTTCACCAGGATATCAGGACCCCAGGAGCATCTGACTTCTAAAACCGACCTTTACTCAGTCCGCACTAATTAACAAGGATCCCTAAACAGGAAATCTTACTGAAGTCTTTATGATGACTAAGAAGAAAAAAAAAAGATTATTTTTTTCAATAATGAAATATTTATTTCATGTTAGATTTCTTTATAATTGAGTGGCTGAACAGAGTCCAAGAGGACTGTGAAGCAAAAAGATATACTTACCCCATTTGGGAAAAATAAGAGCCCTGGTCTTCTAACTCTAGTGGCCAAAATTCCAAAGTGTTGTCATACATAGTAATTCTGGGAGAGCTGCTTGGGTTCAGCTCAGTGCGTCCGTTCGACTTGCTGCTTTTGTACCATCTTACAGAGGTTTCCTCATTTTCACTTGTGTGTGAAGAGGAGCAATGTTTCAGATAAAAAGGTTCCCCTTCCACCGCGCTAATATTGGGCCGTGAAAAACACGTTTCTAAAGATAAGTAAAAGAAAAGGGAGAAAACCAAAAAACAAATGAAGAAAGTAACTTTTTCTCTTGATGCATTAGGTGACGAAGCAAAGGTTCATAAGAAAGCTCTGAGAATTCTCAGTGTCACCGTACCATGGTTTCTTTGTTTTTAGCATCTGACTTTCGAACACTATGAGGGATAAGACACTTTCCAGGAGACAATGAAGACAAAACTTTCAATGATTCCTCCTAAACAGGGAGGTGTGAGAACCTAACCTACTACATCCATCGAGAAGACAGACCTGACAAGTGCCATCTTTCAAAAGAAAATTTTGCACAAGACAACTGAAACCACAGGCCATGGTGTTGCCACACCTACCCCCAAAGCATCCCTAGCCAGGAAGTCTCCATGCCAAAGGAAACAGATACCTAGAGACCTTCATCTGCATCCTCAGAAATCTCACCAAGCTTGTACCCAGCCCACCAGTTGACCTGCCCATTTCCTGGGCAGGTGTGAGGATGGTTAAACGTATTCCTGCAGCTTGAAGTGTGCATAGCGTTGTTATTTCTGTAGGTTACCATGGGGATAATCAAGAATTGATTAATATAGTATCACTCCAAATTCTGGTATCTGTCACTTCTGCTGTTTGGTCTCCTGTTCGGTCTCCCTCCTTCTTTCTCAATTCGCCCAGATTCTCTGGCCTTGGAATTTTATCTGATCTGCTCAGAGGGTAGGCCTTCTTGCCACTCTTGTACTCCTGGGAGTTCAAACCTGGCTTTAGTGGCCCTTTCTCATATTTTGTCCTCTGGTGGCTCCAGGGTGGCCTTCATCCACATTGGGAAAATGAGAATCTTTTAATCGAATGCAACTTTTCCCTGAGAACATCGACAAAGTGCTCTCTACAGCGACAGTTTATTTCTGAAAGCAACAGGCTGGTTTTAACTCAGCATCATTGACCACAGCATAAAGAGGAAGTGGCCCAAAGGGTAGAAGCACTCTTTGAAACTGTGGAATATCAAGTCTATCTCAAAGTTCAAGAGTTAATGAGCATCAACCAATTCTGTTTAGTGGTTGTCACATAATCTCTGTTTTACATTTCAGTACTTCAACACAGAAGGTGTGATAAAAATATATACGAAACTCAAAATATGGCAAGCCATTGACAGTTCATTTGCTTTCCTGTGTTAGAGTTTTGCATATGTAATAAAATGCAGAATCATATCAGATTTGCTCTTCTGAGTCTGAATTCTTCTGTACACCACTCTGTCTGTGACAGGCACCAGGTTGCTACATGCGGCAGGGATATGTTCTTTTTTCATTGTTAAGCAAGTTGTGTTACTATTTGACTATTAATTCTATAAATTGAAAAATACTAAGAAATTGGGTTATTAGAGAAGTGTCTACAGGATATCTGGGTTATTCCATGTTTTCCAAGTTTTGATTAATATTTTAAAATGTTTGTAAAATCCTAATTAGAATAAGTTACACTCCATGTATGTATAATATGTCAAAATATACTCTACTGTCAGATATATCTAAAAGGAACAAAAAAGTTTTTAAATGCCTGTATAAATATGCCTGTGTTTTGATGAACATATGCACTCATTCCTTTTAGGAAATAGTTATCATTTGAAGAAATATAATGCTTGTTTGGAATAATGTTTGTAGAAATGAGTGAAGTTCAGGTAAGTAGAGTTCAAGGTCTAAGAACAGTATTCCGATTTTTCCATGAGCAGGGTCTATGAATCCAGCAAGGCCAATAACCTGTATCCTTTGGAACAGTCTTGAGTTTGGACAAGCATAAGATTTTGTCACCTAACTTCAACTAAGTTAAATGACTTCTACAGATAGAATAGTGCTATGTTGGCCCCCAGTTGCCCGCTAATGGAAGGTCCTGTCCAACTACCTGAAAAGACAAGAAACTGGGACTCTGGCAACATTACACAGCAGATCTTAGAGTTGTATTTGTGTTCTGAAACATCCTGTTATGGTTTGGATAAGAAGTGACCTCAAAAAAGCTCATGTTGGGCAATGCAACATGATAGACAATATGATTAATGTATGTACATTCCATGTATGTATTATATACAAAATGCATTCTACTGTCATGTATGACTAAAAATAAATAAATAAATAAAAATTTAAAAAAAAAAAATGTCCAGAAGTGAAGTAATTAGAGTGTGAGAGCTATAATCTCATCAGAGGGTTAATCCTTTTTATGGATTAATAATTGGAAGGTTACTCTAGGCTCGGTTGATGGGGTTGGAGGAAGTAGGTCATTGAGGGCATGCTTTGGGGGGATATATTTTATCCCTTGCTTCTTTCTTCAGCCCAGAGTGGTGAAGTATGGAAAGGCCATGGATTGAACCTCTGAAACCGTGACCCCAAAACAAACTTTTCCTCCCCTAAGTTGTTCTTGTCACGTATTTTGGTCACAGCAATGCAAAGCTGATTAACATGTTTCCTGGTAACTGGGAGCAAGTTTGTTAGTGCAGGTGAACAGAACGTGGGATTCATGCACACACCTCTTCCTGCACCTTGCTTTTCCACTCAGTACTTTCTGACAGATTATTCTCTATCAGGAAGAGAATATCTACTTTGTTCCTTTAATGTTTGGAAAGTACTGCATTGTAGCCTTGGTGCCATCACAACAATAGAGGACCCATTTAAGTAACCATACTCAAGACTGGACCTACGTTATTTGAAAGTATCTACTAACTCAACTAGACCTTCAGCAATAATTTACCAAAGTAGATGTTCCCTTCTCCTAGACAATATATCCAGGCAAAGTCTCATATGTGCTCCCACTTTACCCTCCAAAGCCTGAGGGAAAACTTGCCATCCAATCATGGAACTCTTCTCCAAAGAATGGGATTTCAGAATTCTTTTCAAGAGGGTTGAGGCAGAGGGGACTTCCAAGTATCGTTGTTAATAAGTTTAGAAATCGTACTTGATATCCACCTAGAAACCTACTTGTCTCCCTAATCTAACCAGTCTCTTTCTTGTTTATTCTTTCTAGCCCTGATATTGTTTATAAATCTATAAGGTACTTATTATTTCCTAAAGAATCAGATGAATCTTTGCATCCCTCTAAGGAAGGAGTTGGTGTGTACAAAACTTCCTAAAAAAAAAAAAATCCATAATAAAGATAGTTGCTTCCTCCTCAGTTTCAAATAACATGAACCAAAGTTTCTTCTCAAATGTAATTTATTTCAGGACACAAGTTTTTACAAGCTTGGAGAACTAAGTCCTTTTTTTAAAAAAAAATATTATCACATGGATCTTTTTTACTTGATTCCATTGCTATGGATCTTTTATTCTCTACCTCAGAGACACCAAATAGTTGTCAACTTTCTAAAGTAGAATTTTAAATCAATATATTTTGGTAAACTCAGCATTTTTAGTAACCACCTCCACCCCCCCCCCCAAAAAAAGACAAAATCCTGACATTCCCTCTAGATTACTAACAAAGTTTTTTTTTTTTTTTTTTTTTTTTCCACAACTTACCTGAGTCGCGTGTAACCATAAGAAGCAAAAGAGTCATGAATCCTCCTCCACAATGCATGTTTAGGACTCTGTATCAAATAGTTTATCTGAAACAGAATAAGATAGCTTATGCCAAAAACTTAATAAAAACATACCTGTCTTATGAAGGCTTTAAAAAATCATGTGACAGCAGATGTTTAAACATAGCCCAGATATTTTCAAATCCCTTAAAGTGGTCACCAGTTCTCAGAAGTTCCAGCCATGGAGAACTAACGAAATGTCAAGGTAATTAATGTTGGCTTCCAGAAGAAATACTTAACAATGCAACTTTCTAATTCAACAGAATTAGGCCTAAAATTAGTGTTTTAGGCCTGATCTACTAAGTCCTGCCTCCAAAGTCAAAGTTAAGGGCCACAGTATTTCTAGAAAATCTGCCATTTCATTAACGAACAATTTGTGTCATGCCAAGACATGTACAGCAGTTGCATCTAGGGGGAACATGTGTGTTGACACGTGCATTGTTAGAGTCTGTAAACAAGTCTGGATGGCGCCTGGCATTTTGCCAGAGGGAGTGGTTTGTGAAGTAACGCCAGCAAGCCATTAAGTGTGGAGATTCCTTATTGGTTGACTGCTGTATCTATTTTATGTTAATTAAGATAAGCTCTGTGGAATGTATAAATACCCCTCCTGTCCTACAATAAAGGGCTCCTACTCCTGCTGTATCAACCTACACAAGTTCTTCATCACCCCCCCCCCCCCGCCCCCCCGGCTATTTTGCCCAGCCAGCCAGGCTGTGGCAGTGCATGAGTGTGTATGTGCGTTAGACAGGTTTATGTCAAAATAGTCAACTACTGTTCACAGTTAAGGAGGTCTGTCTGTGTCTACTATCAGCTGGCCCCATTGTTTTAGGTCTATGGTGAGGAAGCACATCTCGGTGGGGGACACATTGGTGGAGTAAAAATGGTCACCTTATGACCAGGGAACAAACAGAAGAAAGGGAAAGTAGTCAGGGTCCCACTATCCCCACAAGGGCACACCCCCATGACCTAAAGATCTCCTACTAGGCCCTGCTTCCCAGTGTCCACCACCTCCCAAGCCACCACTTGGGGATGAAGCCTTTAATACCCAGGCCTTTGGAGGGTGCATAAGAATTTGCTCATCATGATTGGTAATTCAATTTTCATTTGTGGGTTGAATGTTTAAAAATCCATCTTCCTTCTGGGAGCTGAGCCTATTCTGCTTGTCAGTAAAGTCTGGCCCAGTGTGTAGCACATAGCTCTTCAGTGTCACTGAAGAACACTTGTGTGTGCTATGGCCATGCATTCAAACTCAAGTGCCCATGGGTGTTTATTGTAGGGAACAGAGACTTAAAGATCTCCCTACACCCCAGAGCCCTCTTTGAAACTGACCATGACCCAGTGTAACTGAGATCTGCATAGAACTTTGATCCTAGGACAACCTGACCCTTACCCTTTTAATTACAAAATTTAGAAAGCAGAATGTCAGCAAATTCTTCCTCAGTGGAGACCATTCAACAAGTCCAACTATTCATAAATAACCCTATGTCCCTTGTTTACCAAAAACCTTGCTGCTTCCACCTCAGTGACCCACCAGCTGGAGGGAACACAATGTGATAGAAAGAGCTTAGTCTCACGGACGCACAGACCCTAGCTGGCTGTCTAATTTGACCAAGGCCTGAGGAGCTCTCCAAGTTTGGGCAAGGTATTTAAAAGTCTTATAGCCTGTTTGCTTATTATCAAAACGAAGCTAAAGAGGCTCTTTACATAATGAAGCTGTCTGAAATTTATGAAGTCTTTTGGGTACATGGTAGCCTCTCACCTAGAATAAGTTCCTTTTACCAACTTCCACTCACCTCCCATCCTAAACAAAAGGGGAGCTATTAATTCCTGAATCCTAGAAAAAGTTCAATAATGAAGCTGCCGAACTATTTATAACAACCCTTACCTATAACACCACCAAACATTTGGTGGAATTTCCAAGAGCTACACATCAATAATGTAAAGGCGAAAGGAACAAATATGTATGGAAAGTACCCACTGTTCATAATTGAATTAGAACAGTTTTATGCTTGAAACTTCTTCCATTCCCCCCCACCAACACCTTTTATCATTAACTCTGTCTATTCTTGTAGAATGAAAAATGTTGTTTCCTTTATGTTATTTCTCTGGTGAAGGCTGACGTAACCTTGTAAAGGTCATCAATTTCTTTCTTTCTTTCTCTTTCTTTCCTTTTTTTTTTTTTTAAGATTTGAGGTTTTTTAATAAGGTCTACAAATGGGTAAAATTATGAGATTCTGATTTTTTCCCCCTGTCCTAGGATTTAAACCCAGGGGTACTTTGTCACTAAGCCACTTCCCCAGGCCCATTTTATTTTTATTTATTTATTTTTTTTTGATACAGTGCCTCACTAAATTGCTAAGGCTGGCATCACACTTGCAATTCTCTTGTCTCAGCCTCCAGAATCCCTGGGATTAGGGGTGTGTGCCACACACACAGCAAGTTATGAGATCCTGATTAGTTATTAGTTTCAATATGAAGCATAATAGGACCGTATTGTACCAAAAATAGCTGATATTCATGAAGCTCTGTGTGTGTGGTTGTGTGTGCATTAAGCTTTGAATGTACTTGTTAAGCTGTAGGTATTAAATCTAGAGGTTAATATTTTATTAAACAATGAATTCATCTCCAGAAAAAGAACTATTCTGAGAAATGTCATTTATATACTATCAAGTATAAATAAAACAAATATAGGAGACTATAAATATTAAATTTCTGTTATGTAGGATTTTTTCATTTTTTTCTGATTTTTTTTTGTAACTGTTAATTTTCTTCTTTCTTTAAATGTTTTTCTGATTTTTAAAGCAATATGTGCCTAACACAGAATATTTACAAAATGAAGACTAAAAGAAACCAATATAAAATAATATTTTAGCATTTTAACTATTTTCTGTGTATTTTAAATAGGTTAAAAGTATTTAATTAATTTCATATCTTGCATTTCCATTTAATATTATGCAGTGAGCATTTTCCTGTATCAGGCTGTTCTCTTTGTTAACATCATTTTAATTGCCACTCAAAATTCCTTCTGATGGACATATGATTCTTTACAAGATGAATTATACTGTGAAATAACTCCATGACTGTCCTCACGAGACCTGACTCTCGCATGTGACTCAGTGTTTTGGAGTGCAGCCTCTCGTACCTGCCTGGAAAGACTGGAATCTCCATTTTCTTTTACCAGTGAACGAACCTCAGGCATGTCACTTATCCTCTCTCTGCCCCAATTTCTTTGTCCAAACAAGGAGACAGCAATACTATCTATCTTAAGAGCTGATCATAAATTACATGCATTACTCTTGCAAATGACTGAAGAATAATAAACACCCACTTAAATGTTAGCTATTATTATTTGCATTTCTTATCATTTCCATGGCAGGATGTGAATGAACACAACATATTTGAGACATTGCCAATCATATTGCCCAGAAATGTTGCCATGATTCATATACCTTCCCTCACAGTGCAAGACGGTTTCCATCCACCACACCTGGAAAAGCACTGGGCAGTCTCATGTTTTAAAATGAACCAGGTAGTCAATATGGAAAGATGGTACCTGTTGGCTTTGTTATAAATGATGTCAATTTTAACCATGTGCTATTAGCTATTTTATTTCTATGATTATGAACTATTTCTTCACATCCATTGCTCAGTTCTCAGATGTTGAGTGTTTTGTCCAATTTGTTTAGTTTGCTTTTAATTCCTCTTTTTTTTTTTTAAAGAGAGAGAGAGAGAATTTTAATATTTATTTTCTAGTCTTCGGCGGACACAACATCTTTGTTTGTATGTGGTGCTGAGGATCGAACCCAGGCCGCACGCATGCCAGGTGAGCGTGCTACCACTTGAGCCACATCCTTAGCCCTTAATTCCTCTTTTGATGTGCTAATAAATGGAAGATTATATATTGAGGGCATCAAACTTTTTTTGTTTTTGCTTTGTGACTTTTCTATTACTTTCAAATATAGATGATTCCTCTTCTCACAGTTGTAAAGCAGATGATTATCTTTATTTTCTTCGTTTTTATGGCTTAATTTTTTAATTTAACTTTTTAAAAAATTCACTGGATTAATTTTCATGGTTAGCATGAAGATAGGGTCTAGTTAATGTTACTTTTCCAAAATAGCCAAGATTAATTATCTATGATTAATTCAGTAGTCCTGTCTTTCCATTAAAGTTTGTTGCTAGCAGGTTATAATGAATAGGTCCCTGAGGACTCTGTGGAAAATCTAGCACAGCATGCTTGCTCAAGTTCAAATATATGTCTATAGGGGTGCGCACACACTCTCTCTCTCTCTCTCTCTCTCTCTCTCTCTCTCGCTCTCTCTCTCCATTGTCTTCTCTCCCTTTGTTTTTCTATTTATAGTAATTATCACTAACTGACATTTTTACATTATGTCTGCTTAATGATTATTTGCTGAATTAATTAATGCATTAAATTCTTAAAATATTTAGAGTTTGGAGTTCATGTGATCATCTGATTCATTAGCATATGGCCCTGATTTTCTACTTTTTAAATCATGACATCTTGAAAAGAATGTTTTAACCTCAATGATGTCCAGGGTGCTATATCTCAACTGGAACTTTAAAAAATAATAATGAAGCTAGGGCTCTACCCACCTGTCTGGAAATTCCCTGTCTGTATAGCCTGGGAAACCTGAGTCACCAAAACTCCCCAGGTGGTGATTCTAATGCCAAGCCAAGGACAAGAGCCACAGATTTACTGGACTTATTCATATACTTAAAGAAGTAAAATGTAATATGTCATATATACATATATGTACATATATACATATACATTTAATAAAACATACATTATATCTTGAATAATAAATACATTAAGTGAATGTATACATATATCTAATGTTTTATTTAAGTATAAAATAAATGTATGTGCACCTCTGTATATGTGTGTATTTAAAGAATAGTCATATACTTATCTGAATCATCTAATGTCATGAAATTTTTTCTAAATAAAAAAAAAATAATTTCTCTTTCAAAAATTGTGAGACCTAGGGAGAAGATCAGTTATAAACATTTCTGTCCCACAAGGCCATGCAGAACAAGGCCCTTTCCAGGGTATCTGGTCATCTCCTAAGCTGCTGGTTCTGCCCAGCCACCCTTGTTTATTGACCCCACCCCTACCCTGAAGAAACTGACCATTCTCTAGAATAAAATATTTCACAGAAACCCATAAATGTTAGGCCATTAAAAATTTTATCTAATGAGGGTCCTGAGACTCATGGAAGTGAGTCTAGATTAAAGCTAGTTTCACTGACTTATGCAGAAATAAATGTAAATTGCCTTGCTACCACCCATTCTCATTAGCAAAACATATAATTGAGTTCCTCTTAAGATAAACTGCCTTGACAAAAATCATAACATCAGTGTTGTTGTTGTTGTTGTTTTTAACATAGTAGATCAAACTTGGGCCCTCACTCATGCTAGGCAAGAGCTCTACCACTGAACTCCAGCTGCAGCTCACCAGTGATTTTTTTTTCCCCCAGGTAATTATTTCTCTCCAGGGTGCAATGCATGGGGTTTCACTCCATTTGCAAGGTGATAAAACAACCAAAGAGAAAAGAAAAAAAAATTATCTTAGAAAACCGCATGCACTTCACTCAAAGGAACAAAGAGTCTATGTGGAATTTGGTTTCCCTCTATAAGGCAAGGAAAATCATAGCCACTTCATAGTTCTTGTCCCACAATTATCTGTTACTGTTCTTTTCATGCTTTTCCCTAAATCTCCCCATTCCTCCCAGCCACTAGGAAACTACAGTCCTTGCAATGTGGCTCAAAGGCTGGCTTCTCAAGGAAGCTAATTATTACTGCTCACACAGGCATAGCCTTGTCCAAGCTCATCTGAGAGGACATTTCCATTCTTCGAGAACCAGCCTTCTCCCCCTGGTAAGGTCCCAGAGGGCAGAACCTGCTTTTCTATACTGTGTGCCCAGACCAGCAAATGCAGTTCCCCAAATTTGCACTTCCCAGTCTACCCAAGCTATGGGGTTAAGAGGAGTTCCCTAGGTCCCAGCAATGTGTGTGGCATAGAATATGTTTGCAGAGGTCCCAAGAATAGAGCAAGGGAAGTTGGTGAAATTATTACAGTATTCTCTGATCTCTACCCCTGAATGACCTTTTCCAGCCATTAACTGTTCTGATAACTGGGATACAACCTGCTAGGTGTTCTGACTTCTGGAGGCCCCACAGATTAAACACAGAGCTTTGGAACCAGGAACATTAGATGTGAAACTAGGATCTACTACTTCATAGCTGTGGAACAGACTGCCTTTGAAAATAGGGCAACTTCCTAATAACTGAGTTTCTATAACCTGTATTTCCTCAAACTGTGAGTGGAGGCAGAAGGAAGAGATCTCTCCCCACACTCAGAGGGGCTAGGAACTGGAGATTGGCATGTTTCTGACTTACAAAGCCTAACTCTCTCTCTCTCTCTCTCTATATATATATATATACACACACACACACACACACACACACTATATTTCCTGCCTTTTGTCACACTCTGCCTTCTTGTCTTTTATAAAATCTTTCCATGTCCCTAAATCCCCCAAAGATGGATATTTGAGTCAGAAAGTTTTTCTCCATCTTCCTCAAAGCTGGCTTTGAATAAACCATTCCCTTGCCAATCTACCTCCAGAATTTCCAGGGGGAACAACCAGCTATAAAGCCATTCCCTTGAATAAAAAGTTGGATGCCCTTGGATAAATTGCTAAATCTCTTTGTGCTTGAATCTCCCTCCCTTTTCTTAAATGTGATAATACCTCCTCCTTCATTTCACCTCTGAAAGGCTTACGTGCATACAACAAAAGTTTTCTATACTGTGTCAGGCACACCGTAAGTGCTTAAGAAACAACAACTATTGTCATCACTTATTTCAGCTGTTCTCATCTCTAAGAAAAGAATTGACAATGTTTTCACTTCTAAAAATCATACTATCAGTGAGAGTTGATGATGCTGTCTCACCGATTATTCTTAGGCGCGCACGCACAACACACATAATCAATCTAGTTTTCAGATACCGGCCCCTGAGTCTGGGTGGCTCTTTGTTCCAAGCGGCTGGGGAAAACCGGGACTTAGCATTCGTGGCTCGGGCGCCCGTCCTTACCTTCGAAGGGGTGTCTCTGAGGCTGGGGCGCGGGCGTTTGTCCCTCTTTCACACGGATTCTTGACTGCGAGGTGGCATTCAAAACTCAGGTGAGAAAAGGTGATTCCCCGGAGCTCCTGGCAACTGTGAAACTGGAAGGAGGCGCGGCCGCAGGGCGGGACAGAGAGAGAGAGAGATAGGTAATCGGGGAGGGTAATCCGGGGCGGGGAGGGGATACCGATCAAAGGTGAAAAAAGAAAAGCGTCCTGCGGCTCCTGGCTGTGAAACCCGGCTAGAGAGGGCTGCAGGTGGGCGCTGCCCGTGGGAGGACCCCAGGTCCCGGGAGCGCTCCAGGGGCAGCGTGTCACGCTGTCCGCCGTGGGATGCTCCCAGGGATGGAGTCGCCCAGGCTTGAGGCGCCCACTCTCAGGAGTGACCCCGGTTTGCGGGGTGTCGGGTCAGGTGTGGGCTGCGTGCTTCTGGCAGCGAGACCGGGGGCCGGTTCCTCTGCGCAGGTGCCCGCCTGCGACTTACCGGAGCTGTGGGATCCCTGGGGCGACGGGCGCAGCGGGAAAATCCTGGTCGCGTCCAGGCCCTGCGAACCGCCCCAGCCTCCACGCAGGGGTGACCTTCGACTCCAGCGACCCAGGGCGGCGGCTGTGCCACCTGCAGAGTCAGGAGTTGGCGCGCCCCTCCCGCTTTTGCGCACCCTTGAGGCAGCAAGGCGCAACAGCCAGACTAGCTGGAGGAGCGAGGACACCTGGACCCCAGCGAGGTGTCCTCATTTAAGAGGAAGAGGCTGGGGGAGGATCGGAGAGAGGAAGTGTTACCCGCAGCCTCCCCAGGAACCTTGCCTAGATCCTCCCCCCACCCCCACCCCCGCCTCCCCAGGACCGGTTTCCTCCCGCATGAGAAATAGACAAATGATGGGGAAAAATGAAATTTATGTCGTTTGCTCAAACTGGGAGGAAGCGGCTAGACTGCTTCTCTTCCAGCCCCACAGAAACGGTTCCAATGAAAAGAAACAAAATCCAGGCGATACACCTGTGTAGATTAGTTCGAAAACATATCAGTCACAATTTCCTTGGCATTTGGCCTCAGATTGAGGGAGTTTTAATTCTGAGTAAGGAAATCCAGGAGCTCTCTGTTTCAGAAGGACAACAGAGAAGTCCCCAAGCCACTGAAGGCTCCCTGAGCCAAACATGTGGAGGGGTCATTATTTTAGGAACTCAGGTCAAACTCCAGGCATTGTCTGGCATGAGGGATGGGGATTCCCTACTGGGGAGTGATATAGAGGGGTGCAGAGTTGTTGACTTAAAATTTTAAATTGTTCAAAAGAAAGGAGGCCAGAGGAGAATAGTGCTTCTAGATACCTGTGGTATCCACAATATATAAATAATTTCTATACATCCACAATATAAAAAGAATCAGCACAAGTTAAATAGGGCAAAGATTTTACCTTCACTGAATAAGGTACACTTGTGACCAATAAGAGCATGAAAAAGATGTAACACCATTAATTGTCAGAGAACTGCAAAATAAGACCACAGTGAGATTCATTAACCACTAAAATACCCATCACTGGTGAGGCACTAGAGCACCAGAGCTCACATTCACTAGTGGAAATTTTGAATGCAATGATTAGTTGGCAAAGCAATTTGTCCGTTTCTTAAAAAGTTAAACATACAATTACCCTGTCATTGCTTCTAAGTACTAAACAAAAAGAAGTTAAAAAAATATGCCCACAAGAATGTCCATGGGAACCATATTATAATAGCCATTAATGGGAAATAGCCCATCAAGTCTCTCAACAAGAAAATGACTAAGAAAACTCTTATATAGCTATACAATGGAACACTGCTCAGCAATATAAAGAAACAAACTATTAACTGATGCAAAATATGGATAAATCTTTTAAAAAAATGTTATGTTATAGAAGAAGCCAGACCAAACATCACATAAGCGTGTTGATATGAATGTCAAGGTCTGACAAGTGTGAACATTGTTTACCTCAGGGGAAGGAAAGGAATGGACTGAGAAATGTCACAATGAAACTTCCTGGGGTGACAAGCATTTCTATTTTGTTTTGGGTGGTAACCACACGAGTGTGGTTCAGCTGTCAAAACTCACTGACCTGAATACTTAGGGTATATGTTTTATGAGTACAAACTTGACTCAATTAAAAACAATTCTTTATGTTTTTTTTATAATTCACAGACATTTTCACCACAATCAGATAGTTGACACCCAATCAGTTTGGGCTGAATTTCTTTTATTTATGCTACTTTGTGTGAATCTACGAGTCCTGTCACACAGAGCAAGAAACTGACTGAGGTTACAGGTGGTGCTGGCAGGAGAATCCAGGTATCCAGCAGGTTCCTGACCTCACTGTGAGCATGCAACTTGGAATTAGGAGCCCCTGGAACTCAGAAAACCCTTAGGGGTCATTTTTTCTACCTTCTCATTTTGTCAGCTGCAGAAACTGAGCCCCAAAGAGCTTAGGTGACTTGGGAAATGGTGTGTAAATTTAGGAAAGTGTATGAGAAAGAAAAGAACTCAGCAATGTCAACTTCCCTGAAGCCAGCCCTATCTGGGATCTCTGAATTGCTTTCTCTTCCCACCAAGTTTCCACAGTAGGCTCCCAGCTCCATAAGAACAGGCACAGAGGGTGCTTAACTCCTTTCTCAGCCTTCCTCTCTTGCCCTTCCCAAGGAGGTACTCTGCACACATACAGAAAATGCAAATATTTGTTGAATGCTTGCAAAGGAGCTCATAATATAGAGGCTTGAGACACATTAAAATTAAGAAATATGGGGCAAGTTGAAAACAAATGTATTACAGAACCAAGTAAGAGATCATCACCAATTGTATGTTAAGAATCCTACATATCTAAGGTAGAAAGATCCCCAAAACCTGAGGTACAGAGGGAAATAAAATCGGTTTCAAAATTTCCCACATCCATACACCAAAAAAACACACCTATCATTTTAGATGGGTGGGGAAGCAGGGATAAAGGTATATCTATTCCCAATAATGAGACTGCAGAGAATTTATTGTTTAGGAGTCTTCATTGAGAGGTGTTACAGAACATAATCAGCATTACAAGAAGCACAGGGAGGCTTCATAATTACAACTGTCACCATGGATGGAATTCTTCCGGCAATGCTAATATATGTTTTTACTATTACCACAGAAACCAAAGTGTTTGGCATTATTACATTTATTTCACCTAAGGCAACTAAGTTTCAGTGAAGTTAAGGAAATTCCTCATGGTCATATTCCTGGTGGATCCCAAACAGAATGATTTGTTCATTTTAAGTTCTATGATGTGAACAAGTCAGATATGCAGCATCCAGTTTTTTTGGTAATGCAATAAAATCAGATGTTGCCACAAAAAAAGGTACAGTAATCTAGCAAAATAATAATGCAGGATGTCCAGCTAAGTTTGAATTTCAGATCAACCTCAGATAAAATTTCAGCCTCTGAATTCAACTTTAACTGCTGTTCTGTGTTTTATCTGGCAACCCAATCTCAAGCTACAGGTTAAGAGTATAGAGTACCTAGAAAGAAGAGTAACTCTATATACTTTAGACAAACTTCTGGACATATGACATAAGTCTACCCAGGATCCTGAAAGGTATGACAGTGAGTTAAAGATGACATTCCCAGACAAGAATCTGTACTTCAGCTTTCTTTTGCCAGTTAAATATGAAACTTTCTTAAATTAGAAAAACATTTATCAGAAATAATCTAAAGATCATGGATTTATGAATGATTTTTATTAACTTCCCATTTTATATTTCCTGTTCTTCTACAATATGCTTCTGTCTACTTTGATAATAAGAAAATAATATTACCAAAGATAATCTAAACATGTGAAAGAAATCTTAGAACTGAAAAATTTTGTTTTATTTTAATGGCAATTTGGATAAGGCGTTCCAAAAAAAAAAAGTGAATATTTAGATAGTAAGGCTGAACAATTATTAAATAAAATACAATAAATTGTAGCATGATGGGAACAAGATTTACTACTGCTTTTATGTATGTGGGGATAGGAATTTTTGGGGGGGCTTTGGTTTTTTGGGTTTTTTTTCATAACAGGTGGTTGAACCCAGAGGCACTTTACCACTGACCTACATCCCTAGCCCTTTTTTATGTCTAATTTTGACACAGAGTCTTGCTAAGTTCCCCAGCCTGGCCTCAAACTTGCAACCCTCCTACCTCAGCCTCCCGAGTCCCTGAGATTATAGGTGCTTGCCACTGTACCCAGTTCTCAGAGTGTTCTTTGAGATGACACCAAAATTTAACTCTAAAACTTCCAGTTCGAAGTTCAAAATGTAAATTACCCATGAGGAATGAGAAAAAGAACAAAACAGAGGATCAAAAGCATTGTGGAGGGGAAAAAAAAATCCTACACTATAACAGAACAAAACAAAATGGGGGAGGGCTGGTAAACTTTTTTTCTGGGCAGTTGTATCCACCTAGAATTAGGAAAACAGAAGTAAAGTTACAGATGGAGCCCGAGGGCTGACTACCCTGGACATTCCTTCTATTCCCACTTCAGAACAGGTGCAGAGGCAAATCCCAGCACCCACCCCAGAAGTCAGGAGAGCTGCGAACTCAGACGTGTGCATGCGTCAACAGAAGCGCTGGTCCCTGTTGTGCAAGTCTTGCTGGGGAGTTTGCTTGGGATGGGCATTTGGTACCTCACGTGCTTCCAGAACCTGGAATTCAGAGACCGTTTATTGGCCACGTGATCTTCCCTCCATTTGATGGTGCCCTGCACTTTCACAAGGTGCTTGAGGGAATCTTGAAGGTCATCCACCTGCAGTCCACCTGTCTCTCCCGGAGCCTCCATTTCTATTAGAATCACCTTGGAGTCATTCCGGATGAGGGCGCTGTGCAGGGCAATCTCCTGCTCGTAGGAAAACTCTTTGCTGTGTGTGATGTGAGGAGCCAGGATAAACACGTGTCGCCTGCTTTTTCTCAGGTTGGTTTCCACTGCCGTGGCTGCATCTGGTCAGGTGAGAAACAGATTGGGGATCTCCTATCATTGCCTTTTTGATAGTCTAATAGTGGAGGTTGTTCTGAACATTAAAAAATATTCTTAGTGTTGTAATCTGGCATGAGATTCTGATCACTGATCAAACGACTTATTCAGAAAGTGGGAATGAACTTGGATAGAGAACCAACCCATTTTTTTTTTCTTCTTTCTCCCATCACCATAAAAACATCCACCCAACGCCCTCTTTTTCACCAGGTAAAAATCAATTCTAACTAAAACGGTTCTTCCAGTGATTTGGGAATGTGGACGTATCTCACCTACTGTTTCATGGGAGATTTAGAATTATCAGAATTTTCTTCTTTGACTGTAAGAGACTTAGAAGATGTGTGCATGTGTTTTAAAAGGGCTTCATATAAGAACTTAAACACAATTTAACATATTAACTCACACGGGGAGAGTGAAATTTCAAGAAGCCCTGCCCCCAGCCCAAGCTGATCCATGTCTCTAGGGAAGTCCTGGTTCCACTTCATACCCCAGTAATCTCTGTTGTCAGGACTGATTTGATCGAGACTAGAAAAATCTTAAGGAATATTATATCTTTTTCCAAGCCAGTGTCTAAGAAGATCAGTACCATGGTGATTTAACTATCTCTGGGTGGACTAAGAAAAACATGTAAAGTACCTAATTCTCACCGCAGGAGGTAAAAATACAGTCAGGAAACACAACCATGAACAAAGCAACTCAAGATCTTTTTAGTGTAGGGGCTGAAGGCTGCAAATTCATGCAGTCTGAAGTCAAAAAATAAATATTGTGAAATATTGTTAAATGAAGATCATGAATTCAGATTCTCCATCCTGGATGGAGCGGGATGCAGAAGGGCCGTAAAGGGGGTGAAAATGGAAGGTAACTAGCATAAGAATACACACAAAGCCAGGCGTGAACATTTTCTAAGGATAGAAGAGAGTCCAGTGGTGATCTGGTGGGTTTATTCTATCTGAGTGGAAGAAAGATCACAGGTTATGCCTTGAGGGAGGGGAAGGAGGAAATCATTTCAATAAGTGTGTCGTGTCGTTGCCCAGTGAATGCAACACAGGCATGGGCACCACAGAGTATCGAAACTTGGCTGGGGAGAGGTGGAACTAGAAATGAACTTGATGCACTAAGAAAGAAGAGATGAAGAGCCCATGCCCAGAGGTGGTGCACAGTGTGAGCTCACAGACAAGTGGTGTCCCCCGCCAAGGCCTGAGCACACCTGTGACATGAAAAGAGCTCTTGAAACCATCACCCATTACTTTCCACCAGTGTGGGAGAGCTGGGGAATGAAAGGGGAGCTTCCTGGAAAGAATCATATGATGTATACAGAGACAGCTTTACCTTCTCCAGGTAGCAGATCTCTTCCATAAATGCATAATTTATATCCACATTGATTTTCAAGAACATCAGGCAGAATCTGATGAACAAAGTACTCCACAGAACCGGCCTCTTCTGAATTGCTTCTGTAGTTCCGTGGATATATAACATAAGCATCATAGAGTTTTCCATCTGAAAATGAAAACAAGAAGTACAACTCCATTACTTGGTTCTAAAAATTCTCATTTTCACTTCTCCGAGTACTACTTTCCTCACCAAGTTCTATGGCTGTTGGTGAATGATCCCCATCCTCCAAAATATTCTAGAACCAAGAGATGATGGCAATCCACTGCCACAAAATGTGGTATGGAAATAATAGTCTTAATCCCAAACTTCTCTTGCTATTCATTGTCTCAGACTGAATAATGGAGAACAGAAGAGATAGTGCCCAGTGTAGGTCAAGTGGTGTGGTCATGGCTGATCACTAATCTATTATGAACTATTTATAGTCATTGACATGCCTTCTCCTAGTGTCTGGTAGACCTCAGTGTCATCCATTTCCCCCCACACAGTGGTTCTCACTTATCCACAGGAAATGTGTTCCAAAATCTCAGTGGATTCCTGAAACTTCAGAAATACTGAACTCTACATATTCTAAGTGTTCCCCTATACATGCATACCTATGAAAGTTTTAAGTTATAAATCAGACACAGTAAGACATGAATCATAATAACTAATAATAAAATAGAATAATCACAGCAAAATATTGTAATAAAATTGCCAGAACAGCTGCTTTTGCACGTTGGGGGCAATTATGGAGTTAAATAGAGGTTACTTGAACACAAGCACTGATATACTACAATAGTCAATCTGATAATCAAGACACTGACTAATAGGCAGGTAGCCTGTTAGTCTGGTGGATACACCAAACAAAGAGATGATTCATGATTCAAGTCCTGGGAAGGATGGTGTCAATTTTCACCACACTACTCAGAATGGTGCAGAATTTAAAGCTTGTGTTTTGTTTAGTTATAGTATTTTCATATATATATAAATTTTAACCACAGTTGACCTTGGGTAACTAAAAGTACAGAAAATGAAACTAAGGATAAGGGGAAACTACTATACTTTTCTGGAAGAAGTGAAAATGCTAAAGGCTAGTAATGACTAACTAGAAAATAGAGTTTCTTAAGACGTCTCAATTTCCCACAAAGAATTAGCTATAGTACAGTATATAGAAAAATCTAACATCTGTTTGCTTACAAATGAAAGAATAATGTCCATATTTAGTAGGCAGAACTATCTTGTTTTACATATACATTATGTGCATGTGTGTATGTGTATGTGTTCATATGTGTGTCTACTACTGTATGCTCACATACATATGTGTGCTCATGTGCATGTATATACTTATAAAACAACTTTCCAGGGAAAGTGATCTTGCATTCTGCTGCATCTGTCTAACTTATGCATATATGCAAAACAGAAACAACTTTTTTTTTTTTTTTTACTGCGCTTTATTTCATAAAGTTTTACTAACACACATTTCCCAAGTATTCAAAACTTTCTGGGCTTGGGACAGATTCTGCTATTAGGGATTTAGTAGAAACAGCAAATCTAGCAAGGAGAATATTTAAGCTGTTGTCATGAATCTCAGTACCACAGAGAACATCAGAGCAGGATGGAAAATGGTCTCTGAGTAGACTCAAAAAAATTCACTAAGCCAAGTGTGGTGGTACACACCTGTAATCCCAGTGACTCAAGAGGCTGAGGTAGGAGGGAGGATCACAGTTCAAGGTCAGTCAAAGCAATTTAGTGAGATCCTGTCTCAAAACTAAAAAAGGGCTGGGGATGTGGCTCAAGGGTAAAGCACTTTCGGATTTAATCCCCAATATCTCCCCCGCCCCATTTACTGATAATCTGTTCTTATGAGACCTTTTTCTTTTGAAGAAAAACTTGAAACTTGCCACTTACCATTCCTAGTTTTGTAAGGTCTAGCTACATCTCTCCAGAGCAGAATGACCTCAATCCAGAATGATTTCAGAATTATCACCAAGATATTGATTATCATTAACGAGATACTACATCCTGCAACTACATAGTAGATGTGTTGATGATCAACTACAAAGGACAGGGAGAGGAGAAGAGCAATCCTTAGTATTATGAAAACAAGATAAACAGACAAATATATGCATAGTGGCCTCCACTGGAATTATAAGAGATTAACACCAAAAATACTTCCCTAGAATTTTCATGGCTGCTTTAAACTTCAGTTCATCAACATTAATGAACCTATACTCTGTGCAAAGCACCAGGTAGTCATCACCCAGGATTCTCAAGAGCAAAAGAGACACATGTAAACTTAACTAAGCTGGGAGGTAAAAGCATGATTGTAACTGGCAGAGACATTTGAAAAAGAGCTTGCTCCATTCTGGGCAAGGCAGACTTCCTGCAGAAGATTCCTGAAGGACATGTAGGATTCAGAGACATGCAGAAACAGGAAATGACCTCCTGTCCAGGAGAATGCTGTGAGACAAAGTGCAGATAGGGGAGTCTGTTTTCTTAGGAACTGGAACAACCCAATTTGGGAAATTAGTGAAAGCTGATTACAAAGATGGGTTGGGGCTAGATTTGACCAGAGTTGAAACCCCAGGCAATACACTTGCCTTGTTCTGTTTGAAGGTCATGGGAGCCATCAACAATGTAAGTGCTTTCCACACAAGATTAATCGGATGGCAGAAGGTTGGGTTCTGTGCAGACAGATTGCAGGTGCTCTGAGTAGTAAAGAGCACAGAATTTGTGGTACAAGATGAGGATTCAAACTCGTATAATAATGGGAGGGGAATGGACAAGCCTGGTGTTTGTGGGGCACACTAAGGAGAATGAATAAATGGGTCTGGAGGACACATGAGCTCTGATAGTTCGATGGCATAGGAAGAAAAGGTGCAGGCAGAGCCCTGGAAGTCTCTGAAGCCTATCTGATCAAGTTGAGTTGCTGGGTTCTAGATCCTTCGCCTACCCCTTCCTCCTCTGATGGCAAATATTATTTAGCCATCACTGAACTTTATCTGAGTATCCCTTGTTTCAAGAAATTCAAATGCAGCATAGTTTCCATCTTCAAGGACTTGTATCAGATGTGTACAAGCTGAACATAATAACTGGGATTTTTGTTTTTTGATACCTGGGATTGAATTCAGGGATAACTAAACCACTGAGCCACATCTCCAGCCCTATTTTGTATTTTGCTTAGAGACAGAGTCTCACTGAGTTGTTTAGTGCCTCACTTTTGCTGAGGTTGATGACTTTCACAGTATTCTTGGTGGTTTATGTTTATTTCCTTAGAATTGCCAGCAATCTTGTCTTAGAAACAGCCTTGCTTAAAAATGAAAGAGAGATCAAATGAGATTTGGTTTGTTTCAATCTTAAGACTCAGTTCATGGGCTCTCACGATCAATGCTGAAAGACACTGACCTTTATTCACAGATTTCTCCCCTCTGTATGTTCATGAGCCCTCTGAGTATCCATCACTATGACATCAAGAATGATGGAGGTGAAGTGATCCAAAGCTGGGAAAAAGAACTAAAAATTGGCAGAGAGCTTACTGTCTACATTGTCATCAGTTTGAATGATAAAAACTCTCTCAGGAACTCATTTCAAAACGATTGTCTAAACTGAGCACGGTGATATACACCTGTAATTCCAGCTACTTGAGAGGCTGAGGGAGGAGGATCACAAGTTCAAGGCCGGCCTGGGCAAGATCCAATCTCAAAATAAAAAGGGCTAGGGATACAGCTCAGTGGTAAAGCCCCACTGGGTTCAGTCCCCAGGATTGAGGGGAGGGGGGATTTTCTAGAGGTCCTATCTGGATGCAGTCTAAGAATGTACACTTCTTGTGGGGATTGTTGTGAGGTCCTGTGCAGGACGCTTTCAATTGGAGGAAAGAGACTGATTCACTATGTAGAAGAGAATTGGAGTTCAGTATCTACCTAAGTACAATAACTTAAAAAGGTACAGGGGTCTGGGGATGTGGCTCAAGCAGTAGCATGCTCACCTGGCATGCGCAGGACACTGGGTTCAATCGTCAGCACCACATAAAAATAAAAAATAAGAATGTTGTGTTCACCGAAAACTAAAAAATAAATATTAAAAAATTCTCTCTCTCTCTCTCTCTCTCTTAAAAAGAAAAAAAAAGGTACAGGACAATCTTGCATGTGATGAATAAACACTCAACACTCCCAGCAAGTGTTTATAAATAGAAAAATGTCACTGTGTTTGAATCCTGGCTTCATGATTGTAGTAATCTATAGTACTTAGCAAGTTATTTGGCTCTTTACGCTTTTGTTTCCTCATCTATAACATTAGATGACAATAACATTCTCTCCCTTGTGGGGTATTGAGAGAATAAATGAGAAATTTAATTGTAAAATAACCAGACAGGACCTGGGATAACAAACAATGCATACGTGTGTGTTATTAATATTATGATCATCAAATATTTATTTAGTAGTATATAATAATATGGAGACATAGGATTTTGTTTGTTATTTAAGTTCAAAAGATGCTGTAGTTCCAGAAGTAAAGGTATAGCAGTAGAGACAATTTTTGTTTAATTTACACAGTCATTGAAACAGAGTATAACTGTTGATTTGAACAAAACCGATAAAATACAAATAAACTAGAAACTACAAAATCACACACACAAAGAAAAAAGGTAACATGAACAAAGTTCCAATACACAAGTAATCAGAGAATATTCATGAATTGTAACATAAGCAAAGCACAGGGACAAGGACACAAAGGTGGTGCTAGGTGGGGAGTGGTGTATGGCTTCCCCTTTCCTCTAGGATCCACATGCCCACTACCACCCTGGGACATTTTGACCTGGTCCACAGCCATCCTGGGGTGACACAGTCACCACTGGCAGAAGCCTAATGTCCTACTGAGCAGGACTGAATTTAAGCTCCTCTTCATGAGTCATGACTCTTTGTTTTATAAAGACAAATCAGAAGTTAAAATCAAAGCCAAAACAAGAAAACTCAAGCAGAGACCTATCATGACCATATCAAACTGGTCTGTTTCTCCCCGCCCCAAGTTGTTTTTCATTGTTCTAGGTGTCTGTGTGTTAATCCAGATGAATCCAGGCCATACCCTGCACATGAGTATGAACCCAGAGTTTAACTTTCTTTCTGGATCTTTGACAAATAATATATAATTTCTACATAGTTATACTGCTACTAAGAGAGTGATGTTATGTAAACAGACCCATATTTTTCCCTTTTCTCTGGGGTCAAATACTTCACCTAATAAACGAAATGACTGTCCCTGGTACTGCAAAAGAACAAGTGCACAGGAACCTAGTGCTTATCGGCATATTCGCCTCGATGACACTGCAGGCAGGGACTGATGGAAGGAGTGGACCATGGGGTCATCTGCCCCTGCCGAGAGCATCTTGTCATTGAGAAGAGTTAGTGCTATCTGGGTGTGGTGACAACAATCAGAAGCACAGTGACTCACAGGCAGCTTTATTATTGATTTGACTCCTCGGTACACAGCAGCATCCCTTTGTGGTCTGCACCTAAGTAGGAATGGCCTAGGAAGCAGTCACAGGTAGAAGAGGAGCCCACCGAGAAGCAGGAGGAGGAGAAGCAGGAGAGGAGGAGGAGGACGAAGGGGAAGAGGTAAGGAGGAGGAAAATGGGAGGAGGGGGAAGAGGACAGAGAGCAGTAAAGAAGGTTCCTAGCAAATGGAAATATTCTGAAAAGACCAGAGCCCGAGGGTCGGCACAGGAGAAGCGTGTTCTATGAGACAGGCCATTTCCATAGTCATGATGGAGTCCCTGGAACCAAACTGCAGGACGCTGTCCTCTTAAGAAAACGATTTCAGCTTACAGTTGACAGAGCAGACGCAGGTGACCAAAGCCTCAGACACTCCTTACTTGGCTTTTTCCTTCTCAGTCTTATGGTATTCCTTATCATTCCATGCAGGTTCAGGGCCAGACAGTTGTACTCCAAGGACAAATCCTCTTTCTTCACATCAGTTATTCTTAAAACTGTGCTCAGACATATCAGCTCATTGCTAAAACTGAGAAGGCACTTTGTTACCTTTTGGGGAGGGAGGGGGGGTGGAGTTTACTGGGTATTGATCTCAGGGGCACTCAACCACTAAGCCACATCCCCAGCCCTATTTTGTATTTTATTTAGAGTTGGGGTCTCACTGAGTTGCTTAGCGCCTCGCTGTTGCTGAGGCTGGCTTTGAACTCACGGTCCTCCTGCCTCAGCCTCCGGAGCCCTTGGGATTACAGAATGCCCAGCAACTTGTTACTTTTAATGTTTTCTCTGCAGGTGCCAATAATGAGGGAGAAGAAGGAGATGTTTCAACTTGGATATAAAAATACCTTTCATTTTGGCCTTCCTCCTCTTGAATTCTTGCTTCACCAAAGTCTCTCACTTTGGTTTTGTTAATCTGCCACAGGACGGCAGCCAATATCTGAGAGCCTTTTCCAAAGCAAGCAGAGCAAGTTATGTTTGCTGTTTTTCCTAGATGAGAAGTAAAGGAATTCACCAGTAAAATTAAATTATGCATGTAGTATCTAATTTCACTTAATGTGAAAAATGTTGGCAGAACATCTGATGTGGTCTCTAGAGCACCTTCTCTCTTTGCCCTCTTTGCCTCCTCCCTTCTCTCTAGACTCTTCATGTCACTCTCAATTAAACTGGAAGCTCAGCTCCCACCACTGTCTCACCTCAGAGGAAACTAAAGGGGCAGATGATCTAGCTTCACAGCCTCCCATGATAATGTAGGATTTCTCCTTACTAGAAACTGGAGTTTCTTTTTAATTGTTTCTTCTACAGTTTTCCCCTCCACCTGAATTTTCTTCATCTATCCATAATCTACCTTTGGAGACAAAACCACGTTTTACACAACTCAACAATCATCTGGAACTTGATCATCCATGAAGAGCACTCTCGAGTGCTCCACCCCAAATCCCTAACCGTGAGACTTCTCCCTGCGGAACTGAAAGACGCTGTTTGATCCTGGGTGTGTGTTCAACCATCCTTAGCCTGAGCCCTTGGCTCCCAAAGGAAGCTGTGTTAAAAAGAAGTCAACTAAGGAGAGATGAGGACCGCAGAGCCTCTGGGAGGTGGTAATGGTGTAAGTTAATAATTAGAACACAAAGTATGGCCATGTTCAAATAGAAAGACTGACAAAGAGACCCATGAGGACAGAGGGACAAACCTCTGGCTATGGCTATCAAACATGGCACAAGAAAAAGATGTCCTGGACTGGGGTAGATGGAGGAGGCTTGGATCCTGCTCTTCCTCAGGAAGGAGGGTAGTGTGAGGGAATCACACAGAAGAAATTTATGAGCTTAGTCTTGAGAGAGGGGACAGAGGCACAACGTGGTGGCAGTAGGGAAGAATGTGGGAAGTGGTGCTCATCAGAGAGCAACCCAGAGGGGTGGTGAGTGTGCAGGGCTAATGGCTACAGACAGGCCATGAGGCAGGGGAGGCCACGTCATGAGGACACTTGTTCCACATGCTGAGATCTTCAAATGGTGCCCACTTCTAATGAGAACCTGGAAAGGCAGTGGTGGAAGAACCAGGTCCGTATTCTCATTCTTTTTCTATCATTTATTATCCATGAACTTGGGCATGCCCTTCAGCATCTCTGTTTTCTCAAAAGCCAAGTGGAAACAATGTCTGTCTCCTGTACAGAAGTAACAATAAAACAGACCTATACAGGAAAACACCATAAATTCCAAAGCACAAAACAGATGTAAATGTCGCATATTGCTACAACAGTGGTCCCTATTTTCAGCAGGTGCCTGGGGCTGGTGTTTCCACACTGTCATCTTATACTCCTTAAGGTACACTTGCTAATCAGCTGACTATATCTAGAGGAATTCAGATCGGGGGTCATAAGGAAGAATTTTTTTCAGTCAACACGCATTCATATAATTTTCTTACCGATTTCCACTTCCTGTGTTTCATTGTATGGAGGGGCTATAATTATGGGAAACATAGAAAAGCCTTGTGTATCTTAAAATTAAAAACAAAAAGAGAATATGAGAATTAAAAGAGCATTGAATGGTCATCAATATAAAGCTTGTATTTTCATATTTCTAACTTATTTTACAAAATGTTCTCAAACTTTTCTGACTATAATCTTGGCAACACACACTTATATACAAATGAAACAACAACAACAAAATTTAAGTAAATACTTTCTCTTACTATATTACAATGCTTTTTTTGTATTTTACTTCTCTTCAATATAAATGAAACAAATGTTGATCCAGTCTATTAAATTTATTGTGTGACCTAAAAAAACATTCAAACCCCACAAATCTACAGGATAAGCATAAAATTACAGAGACGATGTCAAAAGACTCATAAAAAAGATGCATGCATGGGCTGGGGATGTGGCTCAAGCGGTAGCGCGCTCGCCTGGCATGCGTGCGGCCCAGGTTCGATCCTCAGCTTCACATACAAACAAATATGTTGTGTCCGCTGAAAACTAAAAAATAAATATTAAAATTCTCTCTCTCTCTCTCTCTCTCTCTCTCTCTCTCTCTCTCTCTCTGTCTCTCTCTCTTTAAAAAAAAAAAAGATGCATGCAGTCCACAGGTCTCCTACTTATTGTTCTCCACCATAGTGGCCCACCCTTAGTAGGAGAAGTCTCTTCCTCTTAGGGAGTACTCACTCTGGTGGCCACTGAGGCTGAGGGACAGGGAGGCAGGTGAGTATTTTGGAGCACCCCTTCATGCTGATTTATTTCAGGGTCCTGTGTTTAAGAACTACTACAGGGATTGAAGTTAAAACCATAAAAGGAAAAAATAGAAAAGTGGTCTGGCAATACTTATGTTGTAGCGGTGGAGATCTGAAAATATCCACACAGAAATTTTTCTCCAATATTGTTTTGCTCTGAGAAAACTGCCACATGTAAATGTGCTACTTCACTGCACTATAGACCAAGCTGTGCTAAGGTAACCTCAGCTCTCTGTAGATCTGACAAGTTGTGACTGTGAAGTCTCTTCCTTAAATGGCTTTTTATAAAATTTAATATATATTTGGAAACAAAAGTATTATCTAGAAATAAGTAACTTACTTTAGGTCTTTGATGATGTCAAAAACATTGCAAACTAGGATTAAAAACCCACCCCAAAACATTTGGATACCCAACTGTACCCCTTAGAGTTAGCCCTTCATCTCTATAGATTCTACATCTATAATTTCAAACCATGGATTGAAAATTTAGGTGGAAATTTTGCTTCCCTGCTAAATATGCACAGATTTTTTTCTTTGCCATTATTCCCTAAACAATACAGAATAGCAACTATTCACATAGCATCTACATTGTATCAGGTATTGTAAGTAACCTAGGGTTGAATTCAAGGAGGAGACACACAGGATCTATGCAAATACTGATAATTTATTGCATAGATAAATGAATAGATTATATTACTGTTCTAGATGAGGGTTTGAGCATCCAGGGATTCTGGTATCTGAGGGGGTCCCTGGAACCAATACCCTGTGGATCATTGCATTGCCATTCAATAAAAGTAACTACATTATCATTCACATTGCTTTACCTTTGGAAAATTAAGTCACAAGAGAAAGAGTAGATGCGGCTTTGGATTAGTAGTGTGATATTCTCCTTGAATTTCTTAGATCTTGTTAGTGTTTGGGGATATCTCTTTGCCATAGTAGAAGATGTAGACAATAGGGTGAAAGAAGAAGAACAAGGAAGGACAAAGTGCAGGAAACTCAACAAGAAAGGCACAACTCTTCCCATGTTATCTTTGTTAACACATCCTGTTTTGCCCAAGTTAGAAGCTTACGTGTAACCGTGAAGGATCTGGTCGCTGTCACACTGTAACTGACTCCATTTTCAGTGTGTATAAATTTACAGGTGTAATCACCTTCGTCATCACTCCTTACATTGTTGATGAGCAAAAATGACTTGTGTGTCCTATACCTTGATCCCTGGAGAGCTTCACAATTCTAAAACAAAAGTTCCATTCCCTTTTCAGTAATTTTGGACTTTTATCTATTTTTGTGTATTTCACCACTCCCCGCCCTCCAAAAAAATTTTCCTTTTACCTTAAACCACTCCAGAGGTGCTGTCCAATTGTAGAGGTCAATTGTAGGACAAGAAATTCTGGAATTTTTTGCTGATCCAGATACTGTTGAATACATTAAATAATCTGGAATTTTGCAATCTGGTTGTTTTTTATATATGGTGACATTTGCAAAGCCAGTCTTATTCAAGGTGGGACTATTAAAATAAGCCAGACCAAAAAAAAAGTTACTCAGAATTGTAAAATAACAAGTCAACTCTAGCCTTCGCTTGATATTATTTTTCTCCATAAAACAATAATTGATAGTGGTTCCTTTCTTAGGGGAAAATAATCATTTAAATGTAGAGTTTTGACACCATGAAGTTTTTATTTCTCTTGAGAAAAAAAAAAATAACACCTATTTCAGCTCCAAAATGACGACTTCATATACTACGTCTGCTGTAAAAGCATGATCCCAATATGATCATGATGACGAGTACTAATTGAAAGTACGTGCCTGTCATGGTGGTAAGCATTTTTCATACCTTATCTCATTTTATTCTCACAATGATGCTTCAAGGTAGATTATATTATCACATGTATTTTACAGAAGAGGAAACTAACAGGAAGAGAAGCAGCTTGCTGGTGTCACACAGCTAACTAGGACTAGGTTGTGAACTTGAAACTGGTAGGGGATCAGAGGCATGTAACTATACTCAGGCTATCTTTTGAATGTAGCTTATCTAATGTTTTGTAGGTCAAGAATATGGGCATGAATTCAAAGTGTAACACTTTATATATGGACTAGTGATCTATAGCCCATGCAACCTCACACAACCCTCCTTGGCTGACCTCTAAGATTTAAGGTCTGGCCAGTTGCCCCTTTTCACCCACCCAAATCTCCATGATGCCAAAAGTCTAGGTTACTGGGTTTTGTGCCAGTGGATTCTTCCTTCCAGCCAAGAGGGAGCAATTGCTCTTGGTTCTTTTGGTAACTGGGAAAGCTAGTTCTTTTTCTAATTGGGGTACCAATGAATCCCTATCCAAAGAGTTGGTGCATCCCCCCCGCCCCAAGCTGGTGGTGTTCCTAGAGTTACTCTTTTATCCAAATCACTTTATAAATTCAGCTGTTCCACAACAGAGTAGAGAAGGAAGACAGGTGAGAGTGGAACAGACTCCCAACTACTAACAAAAGAGAAGGGAGCTCAAAGACAATGTTGGCTTCCTGGATAATACCTTCTGATGATGCAAGTGTAAATTCCAGAATCATCCACGCTGGCTGGGAGAAACTTAAGATGTTCCCCTGAGGCAAACACACGATTTTTTTTCTGGGTGGGAATAATCTCATTTGTTTTTGAGTAATACCATTCTACAGGGGAAAGGTGTGCTCTTCTTTTTGGACATCTCACAATCAGAGCCTCATTTTCTAGGCCCCAGAATGGTTTATCTGCAAATAAAGAACATAGACATGATCAAATGAAATGATATAATTCTTATACTCTTAATATTTCCATCTAGGATTAAATTTAACAATGGGTCACATATATTGACATTTTAAGAAACAATAAGTCAATGAGTAAAATCTTTAATGAAGTGTTCTACTGAGTACCACAGATCAGTGAAGTCATTTGGATCCAAATTCACCCTACTGTTCCCGTGGAAAAGCAACCGTCTACCTAAACAGATATGTCAGTCAACAAATGCTTATAAATTAAAAGTTAAAAGTTAAAATTCTGATGTATTTGAATATTTACATCTAAAATCATGATTTATTCATTATGGAGAATTTCTTCTGATAGTTTGCAAATGCTTTCTAGTTTACAATTTAGCCAGAACAATTAGAAGTAAGCAATTTAAAACAAGGCACATGCTCTTGGAATTAATTTGTTTGTATTAGTTGAAAATCAATACTTACAACCATTAGCTTCTATGAAGTGGATGGGAACTGTTAGAATTGCCAAGATCCAAAGGCCCAGTCTCTGTTTATCAACCCAGGGCAAGTGTCGGTGACTGACTGTAGAGGTTGCACCAGATACATGAATGGTACAGGCTGGGGAAGGTCTCCACAAGGCCATTGGTTGTTCTACTTAAGATTTACAGTCAGGAAGAGTATCCAAAGCCTCTACTGAAAAATATATTATACAAAACCAGAAGAAAAATAATTATTTAGTCATTATTTTTACTGGTTCAAGGCTACCAAGGAGAAAAAAATTGATCAACAGATTTATTAAGTACACATGTATAATAGCAGATTTCAGACATGCAATATTGCATTTATTCCTTTTGAACTTTGGTAACTGGGAAAGTTACCTCAATGATCATGCTATCTCACAATTATATTTTACTAGTCTCATGAGAATGTCCTCAAAGAATTTAAGTGAAGAGCAAAGAAAAGGAATGTTTATTAAAAAAAAAAAACATAAAATTCAAAAGACTCTAGAAAGTGGAATATTATATAAAATGGCAAACATTTTCACAGGCTAGAGGAATTGTGCACACACATGTTAATGCACACTCCAGCACATGTGGAGATAATCATCACAAAGCAACCAAGGGAGAGAGAGAGAGAGCCAAAACCTCAAAAATTTGTCCCTGCCTTAGCTTGTCCCCAAGAGCCACTAAAGGCTCTCTAAGAATAGTTGAAGGGTTGTAAACAACAAGAAATTACTTTCCTTGTTACTTTCAGTAAGAGAATCATTTATGATATTTTCTTTCATTGGGGAGAGGTGTAATCAATATAGAAATTTACATGCATGTTAATAAACACAACCACCCTTAAGAAAGCTCGTTCCTTTCAACATGAATTATTGATACTTTCCTGACTACAAACTTTAGATAAGTAATTCATGCTTACCTAGACTGAAGGACTGAAGGGAGCCAGATCCAGGTCAAGGACTGAGCTAAGAATGGCTTCTTGCCCTTTAGCTCCTTCCTGGACACACTCTCTTCTATTTTAAACACTCAAAGACATCTTGCCACTAGCCACTCCCTCACACCCTGAAATTTGATCTTCAGCCAAAATCATGACTCAGTTAAAAAAATGTCAGTGTATCACCGTCTAAGAATCTGTGAGCTTGATACATATTTAAAAAGAATGACAACTTTGAAAAATCCCCTTTAAAGGGAACACGGAACACTCAAATCAGTTCCCTGTGTTTTAGCACTCATTACTCAGGCTGAATAATAGATAATGTTTGTTGTTTGTTTCCCTGGTATTGTTTCGCTTTTCCTTCCAAATGATCTTGAATCCATGGACCTTTGAACTGTCCTTCCAGATATTCCCTAATGCCTCATTTGACAGATGCTGTTTAGGAAGGCCCCGTCAGCTGTGCTGGAGAATTTTGAAAACAAACAAACAAAAAAGTGGGGGGAGGAATAAGCCTTGAGAAGCAAGCAGGACTTCATTATTACTTAGAAATGTTTTTTTCTGTGGTCCAGAGTGTGACAATCTTATCCAAAAATAGGGCCCGGCTTCTCAGATTTCAATCCAAATAATACTCTCAGCTTGGATGGAAAATAAGGACGTTTTTCTAAGGAGTTTAGAGAAGTAGAGGAAGATTGTGAATAAGAAGTTCTCTTCGTGGCATTTACAGGTAAATGGATGGAGTTGGAGAAGATAATGCTGAGTGAGGCTAGCCAATCCCCAAAAAAACAAATGCCGATTGTTTTCTTTGATATAAGGAGGCTGATTCATAGTGGGATAGGGAAAGGGAACATTGGAGGAATAGACAAACTCTAGATAGGGCAGATGGGTGGGAGGGGAAGGGAGGGGGCATGGGGTAATTAATGATGGTGGAATGTGATGGTCATCATTATCCAAAGTACATGTATGAGGACATGAATTGGTGTGCACATACTATGCATACAACCAGAGATATGAAAAATCGAGCTCTGTACATGTAATAAGAGTCGTAATGCATTCTGCTGTTATATATAAATTAAAAAAAGAAAAAGAAAAAAATAAAAGAAGTTCCCTTCAGACGACATCAAATTATCACTCTTTGCAGATCATATGATTCTATATTTAGAAGATCCAAAAAAACTCCACCAAAAGACGGCTAGAGCTAATAAGCAATTTAGCAAAGAAGCAGGTTTAAAAATTAACATACAAAAATCAACGACTTCTCTAAATACCAACAATGAATCTGTTGAGAAAGGAATCAGGAAAACAGTTCCATTCACAGCAGCCTCAAAAAACAAGAAAAAACCTGGGAATAAATCTTACCAAGGAAGTGAAAGACCTCTGTGATGTAAATTATAGAACATTGAAGAATTAAATTGAAGGAGATCTCAGAAGATGATGGAAAGACCTCCAATGTTCATGGAGAGATAGAATTAATATTGTTAATATGTCCATTCTACCAAAAGAACACAGATTACATTGATGTAATCCCCACCACAATACCACTGACATTCCTCACAGAACTAGAAAAAAAAAGTCCTAAAATACATTTGAAAGAATAAAAGATCCAGAACAGCAAAAGCATTTTTAAGCCAAAAAGCAATGCTGGAGGCGTCACAATACCTGGTTTCAAACTATCCTATAGAACTATAGAAACAAAACTGTATAGCACTGGCATAAAACAGACACATAGACCAATGGTACAAAATAGAAGACACAGAAACAAACCCACCCGTCTGCAGTCAGATATCTGATCTTTGAAAAAGGTGACAAAAATATACATTGGAAAAAAAAAAAGACAGCTTTTTTAACAAATGGTGCTGGGAAAACTGGTTATCCCTGTGTAGGAGAATGAAACTAGACCCTTAATGCTCATTCTACACAAAAATAAACTAAAAATGGATCAAAGACCTAGGAATTAGACCAGAAACTATGCAAGTGTGAGAAGAAAATGTAGGGCCAACACTTCAGCTTTCAGGCCAGACAATGATTTTCTCAATAGGACTCCTAAAACTCAGTAAGAAATGCAAAGAGTTAAGAAACAGGATGACATCAAATTAGAAGGTTCTGTATGGCAAAAGAAACAATTAGGAATGTAAAGAAAATACCTACAGAATGAGAGAAAATCTTTGCCAGCTTCTCTTTTGACAGAGGATTAACATCTAGAATATATAAAGAACTCACACCGTCGGTGGGATTGTAAATCAGTACAACTGCTATGTAAATCAGCATGGAGATTCCTCAAAAGTCTAGGCATGGAACCACCATGTGATCCAGCTACACCACTCCTCTGTATTTATCCTGAAGAATTCAAGTCATCATACTACAGTGATACAAGCATACCCACAATTATAACAGCACAATTCACAATAGCCAAAATATTGAACCAGCCTAGGTGTCCCTCAATGGATGAATGGGTAAAGAAAATAGGGTATATATATATACACAATGGAGTTTTATTTAGCCATAAAGAAAAATGAAATTATGTCATTCACAAGAAGATGGATGGAATTAACTTTTTAGTCACCACATCTGGGAAGGATTTAGGGGCTACTTCCAGACCAACACGACAACAGAATAATAATAGCTAGCCTTTATGTAGGACTTTCTCTGTGCCATATGCAGTTCTGATTGAATCACATGTATCGCTTTATTCTCAAAATCACCCGATGGTGTGGGCACTATTATAACTATCAACCTTGTACAGACAAGGACACTGAGGAACAGAAATTAAGTAACTTGCTTAAGCTACATAACACTATGAGATAGAGCCGGGAACTTGAATCTAAAGTCAGCCAGCTACAAAGACCAGATTCATCACCAGATCCTGTGGCTACCAGGTGTGGGAAATTAAGGAGGAAGTACAGCCAAAGAGACCCCTAAGTAAATGTTTTAATCCAGTTTCCAGAAGCTTCTTTGCTCCCCACAGTGGCTGGGAGCCTCTTGATATATCTTAACTGCACGAGGGTCTGGCCAGTCCTGGGACATGAGTGACAAGATCTGAGAGGAAGAGATACCCAGACCTTTGACTGCTGGAGGATTGGCCATGAGACAGATGGTGTGACTTCGAGGAATTAGTTCTGCTCATTGATATTTTTGATTCTTCCTGTCAAGATCGTATTATGAGGCTGAGCATGAAATCAAAAAGCAAAGAGCCCACATGTTTGGAACCTGCCTAGAGCTTAGTAAGCACCAGATAATAAAATAAAATAATGCAAAAACTCAGAATTGTTTTATATTTTGTGACCTGAAATGTCTTTTTCAAAATATTTGTTAAAGTTGGGCATTTACTCATTAAACGAGGCCACATGTGCATTGGCTTCATAGTTTTAAAAATAAGGTGTCAGTCAAAATTTTAACATAGTAATCAAATATTTAGAGAAGCATTTGAGAAAGTCCAGCTGCAGTGAAACAGTTCAGACATCTATTTGGCAAATTTAAGACCTTCCATTCAAAGTACATTACTACTATCAGTTAAAAAAACAATCTAAAAATTTCGAAAAATCAAAGTACAGTACTATGTACATCATTGGAATTTTATTGATTAACATGAAAACCCGAGGATAAGACTGGTGATATAATATGACCAAGCTCACCCGGTTGTGGTTGAGGTTAAAACCAGACCTGCTGAGTTTCAAAACCAAGGTCTCCACCCGCTCCTAATATCAACTCAAAGAGAGAGAGATTATAATGTTAAATCTTCCCTTCTTATAAGTGGGACTGAGTTATTAAAGAAAAAAAAAACTAGTCTGCTTTCCCTTAGGTATTTTCTTTAAAAAGAACTAACCATTTTGGCTTCTAACAATCCTGACAAGTCCAACATAGAATGTAGTATTTTATAGAAACTTAAAATGTTGATGGCAAAGGCTTAGGATTCATCAATAAACCAAACAAGGGATTTAAAACAGCCTTGATTATCTGCCAAGTTAATCAGAATTCCTGTTTCTCAAGCAAACAACCTTCCCCCCACCTTTTAAAAAAGAGTTTTTATAACTACTCTGTTTTCAAAATTAATCTGATAAATCTAATCTAACTTGACCCTCCCCCTGCCCCAGTTTGGGGTTATAATTTTAAACTCTTACAATCTATTTAAAATCAACTTCTCTGAAATTTCCACTAAAATTAAATTAAATTAAACCTAGATTTCCAGAGTTAATAGCTAGCTGCTTGCCTCGGACCTTCAAGTATTTGGTTACACAGAAGATGTTTTACGAGGTTTACTC